AAGGTATAGGGTTATATTCTCAAAACTTAATCAGAACCAGCGTGTTCTTCGCAGATCGATTTACATTGAGCCAGTCCTCAACAAATTTGCGGACCTTTTTTAGAATGTATTCATGTCTTTAGATTTTGTCAACCAGCATGTTTTTTGATTTACATTGAGACAGCCCAAAACTCCCATGAGGAATGCAACGAATTTGCGAACCTTTTGTTTTGAAGACTATTATTATGCTTTTCAAGAGAATCTTTGACCTGTGACGCTCGCTCATTAGATCTTTGTATTTTATTTAAGTTTATATTTTTATACCTCTGATACATTCCGCCCCATTCTTGCGCTTTTCACATATTTTACTTTACATCAACTTTTTTCTTATGTATATTACCACGCGAAATATTTTTCCTATCCCTGATGACGCTTTTGTTCGGAATTTAATTATTATTCCTAATTTCAGCAGTCAAAGGCCTCATTTGAACCATAGTTTTCTTTCTAACGTTTATAGTTTTGATACAATGGAATTTTCCATGAAACACAAGTGCTAACTTGCTCATGTTTACCAACAAAGCTTCAAGCTATGTTGTTATTGTTTAATAAAAGTGACAGCCTAGAGTGTGTCAAAGTTGTTGTTTTGAAGTTTGGTGCCATCCTTTTCTATAGCGGAATCCATTGTGAACCTCTAAAATTATGAAGAAAAAAAGATATATCGCGAAGATCTGAATAGGCACATTTCACAAAAGATAAACGAATTCGCCTCGTTGGCACTTGCCGGAAGGTACCCCTAGCATAGAATAATAAAGCGCCTCAACTTCGCAATATTCGCAGTATTTGAACGGGCGCCGAAATTTAAAGCAAGTGAACGACGCTTTGTTTATTTCAGTAACCACGTGGTTTCAGCACCTGACTACAGCGGGTGATATTATGGGGCAAGATCTTTCCGCGCGTGGAATATACGTGTAGCTGAATAAGTTTACGCGCTGTTTATTTTCTTGAGCATAATAGTAAAAAACCAGAGAGAAAGAGATTATCTCACGACGTGTATCGGTTATTTAGAGCAGGGCTTTATTTTTTCGGATAAAACTTTGCAGTAATAATAATAATAACGCGAATATTTATACAGGATAACCTAGCAGTTCTAATAAAAAGAACTGTTATCAAAAGGGTCCTGTAATTATCTCATAAAATAATACTAAGAAATCTGAGATTTACAAATCAAAATCTGTAAAAATCATCGACTAACAAGACTAAAAAGAGTTGTGAATTATGGAATACTATCGAAAAAACTATTTTAAATTACTATTCAAAAGAAACCTAGAATTTAAATTTCTTAAACGCCGAGGTTAAGTATTGTCAACTAGAGCCCCTTGAAAGGTAAAACGTCTCCGTACAAATTCTAATTTGGCTTTGGGAAGTTTTAGTGAACACCCATTGTTTCTAGTGTTAATGTTGTGTTCAATTTTTGTAAAATATCATTTAAAAGGGGTAAAAACGTTATCCTGAAGACAATCAAACACAAGCTTGCAGGAATGTCTCTTTATTAAACTCTTCACTGTCTGGACTTGATCATTTCCACCAATGACTTTCTGACTTCGGCGTTCAATGCTTTTAATTCGACTCTTACGGGAACGAGACAAACAGAGACCCAAAGATCCACAATACGTAAAAACAGGTTGAATCATTGCTTTGTAGATTTTCTCAGCACTGCTCTTGTCGATTAAAGGTCGGATTTTCCTGAGTAAATTAAATCTTCCAGCCGCTCTTTTGTACATTTTGACAAAATGTGATTCGAGGTTTAAGGATCAATCCAAGTTTACACCAAAGTATTTATCAGTGGTATTAATCAGTGTTCCATTTACAGTCAAGGCTAGTTGTCTTCCATTCAATGCATTAAGCCTTTTGACAGTACCGAAGATCATACACTCAGTTTTGCCTTTTTTTAGATTAAGGACAAGCTCATTATCACGAAACCAAGAAGACAGGTGTGACAATCTTCACTGAGATGCCTTTGAATGGATTTTAGATCTTTAGCAGCCGTGAAAATTACTGTATCATCCGCATAAGGTGATGATTGAGGTTGACTGAAGAGGCGTATGCACATCATTAAAATGGATAGTAAACAATAGTGCCGCGGCAGAACCGCATCCGGTTATTGGCAATAGCTTTTCGTCCCTTTTTTTCTTATTTCTCTTTTTCTTCTGAGATTATCGGACCCAAATTACCTGTCTTTTGGTCCTTAATTATGTTTATGAGCTATCTGATGTGGCTTTTGATGGTCAACATTTAAATCAGCGAAAAAAAACGACATGAATAAATTTTCTTAGTTACAAAATTCCTCCCAGTGGTTTCCGCGATGAATCAAATAGCTCGCAACACCTTTATTTAAAGGTATTTGTGCCTCTTTCGTAAGGAAACTAAAAAAGATTGTAATAATAATAATAACAATTAATAATAATAACAATTGATTTATATAGCGCTTGTGAAAGAACGCAAATTCCTTTTTTGGTGAAATTTCACTGCTTTTGCGTAGTAATCAGTCTACATGCAGCTGCCTTAAATTAACCTTATTTTATTAAGAACCCATAAGCGCTTCACATTAAATGAAAATTGCCTTAAAAAAATAAAATATAACTTAAATAAAATCTCAAAATCTTGGGACCAATTTCTAACATACTATTTAAAGGTTTGCCTTAGTTTTACTAAAAAATAACCCTTTTTGAAAAGAAACGTGTTCATGGCTTTCTTTAAACTACCTACAGAAACGCACACTCTTAGCTCCCGTGGAAGGGCATTCCAAAGCTGAGGGGCACATATAGGAAATGCCCTGAACCCGTACGATTTTAAATTATAAGATTGCGTCTTCAGAAGCTGCATGTTGCCTGATCTAAGGCCACGGCAAGGTCTATAAAGGTCTACTAGATCCTGGAGATAAACAGGTCCTATACCATTCACCATTTTATATGTAAATAACAAGATCTTAAATTCTTCGCGCTGTTCAACTGGCAACCAATGAAGCTCCATAGGTACTGGCGATATGTGATCACGCTACCTAGACAATGTAACTAGCCTAGCGGCAGAGTTCAACACGTATTGCAGGCGCTGGATCTTATACTTAGGAAGGCCATACAAGAGTGCGTTAGTTATCTAACTTAATATAATGTGTTCTGACTTGTAACCGGCGTTCGGGCTCTTACCATATAACGTAACCTACCCCATATAAGCCCTGGACTTCGTAAAGGCTAAGTTTTGCCTACAACTATCGCCGGGGCGCGACTAGCGTACGTCATGACTTTCGACTACCCACACAGGCACAATTTTCACTTACGACATCCACCGCTGTGTCGCACGAATGTCTTTGGTCTAATTTACTCGACACGATCAGTCGTCAAGTCATGATGCATGCTAGTCGCCCACGATAGTCGTCGTAAGCAAAAATCGTATCGTCTAAATCCGCCTTCAGGTGATTCAAGAGGGCTTATAAAGGATGGGTTCACTCCTACTGAGACTTCATAAATGGAATCGAAAAAACGCCTCGAAAATAAGCTGAAGCCGTGCTGATCAAAATATGAATTTATTTACTGTGAGCTGGTTTTCATAATAAAACTTCAAAACTCTAAATCGAATTTACCCCAATACAACTTGAAGGGGGGCGAGGGGGGGGCTAAAATACCCGGTTTTGTTTACAGAACCTGAGAAGCTTTTAAGAGGGTGTGTGCGCGTTGTTCTGAAACAGTTTGCGAAATTATTATCGCTAGTAAAGGGGTTGTTTACAGGTCAGAGAAAGGAGAAACAGAGACGGAAAGTGTCTTGGCCACTTGAAAATACCTTAACTTAAAGAAATCTGCAAAACAGCTGTCCATGTAAACGCTTCAACGGACTCTCAGTTTCGAAAAAAATAAAAAGCGACTTTTCTACTACTTAGGTAAGGGTACGTGGGAGTCTTTTAAACAGTTCAGGGTAAGCTTTATGTCTGAAAAGACGATAAAGAAGAAGAGGGAAAGAGGGAAAAATGCCTTTATTGGCACGAATTCTCAAACAGTCAAGTGCAACGGAGGTAAGTCTGTTGTTTTTCTTTCCTGCTTTTGTATAAAACAAATAAGTTCCATCAGGAGGTTCCATGCATGTTGCCCTGTGTCTCTTCAGCAGGTAAGAAAATCATTAACACACACGGGCGTACCTCGTGTGCCACTTTTTTTGTTCTTACCACATCTGACATCGCACTTGATCTATATTAAAATTAATAGTCAATAGTACGTTTTTTGGTGGCTAAAAATATTTTCTTGTGTAGAAGAAAGTTTCGCCGGCTTTAAAGAATTTGATTCAGAACTTTTATACACAACTTAAGACTTCAGAGACATATTCAGTTGGTTAAGACTGCTTTTATTTCTTAGTTTTAAGTTGTGTCGTTCCACACATTTAAGGTTAATTTTGCCAGGCGATTCACGAGACAAAATTTGAGTTGAAGCTAAATAAAAAATAGTGCAATAATTACAAGTAAAGGATAGGCGTTTCTTGGTTTCCTTTACAAGTAACAATACATAACTCTAAAGATTCTATTTTATATTGAACTTATACCAATAAATCCAAAATTAGACTTATGACCTCAAACCAAATGGATTCCGCAAGACCGGATAAAGATGGATATAGAACTGGTCTTCACATTTCACCCAAGTGTGGACCAAATGGGTTCACGATCGATCCATTGTTGGTATTTTTAAAAACGCGAAATCTGTTTTAGGATTGATGATGTTCACATTTGGATTTTAAGCAAATTATTCTCTCGTACAAACTATGGTCATTTAAATTCAAACAATCTGCTATAGGTTTGTACGCTTAAATCGACCGTAAGTCCTAAACCTACATGATCTAGAACTGCTTTAACCGCGAGCAATCTACTTTTGTAAGGGACGACTCTTAAAATTAGACTATGTTTTTAACCAAACCAACTGACGTAATGTTATGAAATAGAACGTTTTTTCCTCAGGCCGCAGCCTTAAGTTGGCAGGTCTATTCTAAACAGCCATTGAAATGGAAGAAACAGCTCTCTGCATGCCGAGCCCGCTGTCGCCACCTATTTCACCCGTTTTGGACTCTTGCACTTGATAGTACGTTTTAGTCTCGTCCAACTGTTTCAGATCAAGGTATTCTACTTGCTCAGTCATGGTTCTTTCCAGCCTTTCAACCAGCTCCTGAAAACTTGGTCGTTCATCCGGGTTCTGTTTCCAGCACTCCATCATAAAGCCGTAACTAACAGTTAAGAAAAACACATTTTTTTAACCCCATTTAGCAAACCTGATGCCCGTTTCTAGCCTTTTTTTTTTTTTTTTTTTTTTTTTTTAGCCCAAACTGTGAATTTATTTAATTTTGGACAAGCGGGAATGAACTGAGAGAGGGTTACAAGGACCTTTTCTGATGAAATCTATTTTGTTAGGTTCTTGGTCAGCTGGGAAAATTATGCCGTCATAAACGGAAAAATATTTTGAATGAATAATATTTTTTGTTACTAGTTAATAATATTATGCCTGGGAATTCTAATGGCTTACAAGTTGTCCGAGCACAAGTCAGGTTTTTCCAATCGGTGCCCCGTTCTCAGGAGACTCATGACCTCAGCGTTGTTAAGCAGTGGATAAGGTGAACCTCCTGCAAGAAAATTAGAAAAGGGTCTCATCGATTATGATTATATTTTTAACACAAATTCTTAGTCTCGAGTATTTTTTTCATATGATTACTAAGAGGAGATCTAAGGACTAAACTGATTATTAGATACTGATAGAAACTATCTGCGGCTTTAAATGGACGATTACGATGCTTGCCTTAGGCTTACAAAAGTTACAGAACTTTCATCGTGAAAAGTCAGTAAATTTATACTGAACGTTTATGAATAATGAAGGAACCTGTTCAGTGTCCTTTACCAGCCCCTTTCAGGTAGAATTTCTTCAAAGGACTCTCCATTTCTTGGTCCAATACACTTTTTTATTGTTGGACGATTATAAACTCAACTATCCTGGCCTGGGTTATACGACAATTGAGGAATAAAGTTCCATTTAAAAACACTGTACTGACAATTTTCTTGTTTGACTAGACGGATCAACAAATGACGAAAGAATTTCTGTTAAGCTGAGTAGCACTTTAGAAAATAGAAGTAACAAAAATGTTCATTAAAAATAAAGAAATCATGAACAAAAGTGCCGTGTTTAGGTTGAAATTATCCTTTCCAAACGTTTCGGGCCTGGCCCTTCATCAGTGGAAATACCAGTTCTGAGCTAGACGGAGCCTAAGTAGCCTGACGGTACCGAGCGGTTCTAGTTGTTGGGGAGAGCAAAAGGAGAATGGGGCAAAAACGCACCGCTCGGTCCCTAACCCCCTCCCTCCCTCTCTAAAGAAAAAGCTACGCAGGCGAAAAAGTAAGTAGCAGTTGGAATATTACCTAAGGTTGCAATTTCCCACATAACGACTCCATATGACCACCTAAAATGATAATAATAATAATAACAATAATAAAAATAAAGAAGATAAAACAAAAGCAAATAAATAAGCTTAAAATGTTGCCTTATGCGCATAAAACGTGGAGCATGAAAAAGGCTTCCTAAGACTAGTAAGTATTGCTGCTGTATATGGTTTAGGACAAATCATGGCCTACATTTAATGACAATAGTTTTATTTTGTTTAAATTTTGTGTAGAGGGTATGAAATCGAATGAAAACATAACGGGTTGATCTTGACAAAATTTACAATAAGAGAAATGTTTTGTAACATTTTGGAAAGTAACCATTACGGGGGAAAGTACTCTTAAGACGCCTCAATTATGTTTACACCATACACACATAAAAAGCCTCAAGTAGCGACACACACCCAAATTAACGGAATTTTAAGGTTTCTTGTACACGTAAAATCGGTGTTATCGGCTCGGCTGTATTATATGTCAAAAATAGCACATACACGTCGCTTTTGGAGGTGAAGATCTGTTCATAAATCGCCTCTGGTGCCATCCACTTGATGGGCAGTTTCCTTTGGTTCTTAACTTCATACACCTCATGATACATTTCTCGCATCAAACCAAAGTCTCCAATCTTGAGTTTTTTACCGTGCCCAACGAGAATGTTTCTTGCAGCAAGATCCCTGTGAACTAAGCCCTTCTCAGAGAGGTAGCTCTAAAAAGTGTAAAGCCAGTTAAGTGAATGAGATAAGAAATTATCATATAGGTTTGCTAGTACTTAAGTATAATAGTGAAGGTTTTGAAGTATTGGCTACAAAAAGGAAAAAAGAAAACAAAAGAAAAAGAAGATGGAAATACCCATTTTTATATCCATGTAAACATCGCACAAACAAACGGATAATGAAATCTAATTTTATCTGGTGCCGAAATCTGTTCATTTTCTGTAACGTGTACTTATTCTCGTTACATTCATCTTTAAATTAAAACTTTACACCATTTGTAAAATGAGAACTTCTATGGTCGGCTACACTTTAACCGGTCATGGTTTCCAAGAGACAAACAAAAAATCTAAATAAGCCCACCATTCCTCTTGCTATCTGCCATGCAAAGGACATCGCGTCAGTTGGATGAAATGTCTCACAATCGTTATCACACTCTTTCTCATCTGTCTTTGGAGTAGCATTCTCTTCCTGGATCGACGACCAAAACACTGTCATTGGGATTTTGCATTGATCGTCATCGTCAAAATCACCTTGCTCTTCTTGCTCTTTCTTGCCGTCTGGAGTACTCGAAGGTCCCCCACGTGCTTCGGAGTTATTTGGTCTGTCTTCAACTCGCTGTGTATCCTACATAATTCACGTGATAAATTTGAAGATACCGTAAATCCTCGATTGAGCTCCCCTCTCTTATAAGCGCCCACCCCCCGCAAGTACATTGTATACAGGGAGCAAAATAATTCCCCCACCTCTCCCCCCGTCTTCCTATTAGCTCTCTCTTCCTCCTCCCTTATTATTCTTCACAACGAAATTATTAAAATAAATGATAAAATGAATAGCCACTTCATGTGGACCGATCCGGTATGGTGTCTTCAAGTGCTGAAAGTTCCGATTTGCTCTTGATATTCGGCTGGTGATAAGATGATATAGGGAAAATTAATTTAGTGAGGATATTTATAAGCGAAACACTACCCTTAACATGCATCTTCCAGATTTCATTACGAGTAGCTACCAAACACTCCCCAGTTCGGGTTTCTTAGCACTGAAAAATGATAATTTTGTATGCTGCACTGCTTAATCAAAATCATTAATTCAAAACTAATTTTGTAAGTGCGTTGAACATTTTACGGATTCTTCGAGGAGGAGGGAAGCTACCCCTGTTTTGTCCTTAACTTAAAAAATTTTATTTACCTCGGCGTGATTTGCTGGCGAAAATACGATCAAGGGTATTTTGCAATCATCCTCACTTTGAAAATCAGCTTCCTCTCGTTGCATCATGTCAACAGTGCAAGGCTCAGCATTTGTCCCCAGCAAGTTGCCTGTTTCCGCAACTTCCTAGATAATAAATAACATCAATTACACACTCACAAACTGAGTGCCCACTGTCTATGTCAAAGTGAGTTTTACTTTTTAATTTGGTCCATACCTAAACTGAAATTGAACCCACTTTTTTATCCCTTATAGTTCAATTTCTCATACTTAAAGACCTCTTATCAATAGATCAAGCGACTCTCTGAAAGGAAAGGAAAACAGCATGAACATGATCAGTTTATTTAAACTTTTGACAACACAAGAATTGCATTAGGAAAAAGTTGGACCAAACTCTTTCAAGTTGGAACCATTTCTAATCTGGTCATAGAAAAACAAAGGCACACACTTAAAGTTCAGAGAGATGGGGCTTTGGTAGGAGCATTTGTCTCCCATCATTATGGCCCCGTGTCGAATTCCAGGGACAACGACATACGTGAATTCAGTTTGTTGTCGGTTCTCACCCTTGCTCCAAAAGGTTTTTCTCCGGATACTCCGGTTTTCCCATCTGCTCAAAAACCATCATTTCTAAATCCTTAATTCGATCCGGATCCGGAATGGTAAACGAATTCGAACCACTCTGTGAATGTGTTACCACAAAATCGTTGTATACTCATTATAAGTTTATTTGCAAACCTCACGGTTCATTAAGCACCTTTTTGAACCCTATTCAGACGGGGCTTTTTCTTCGCTTTCTGTGACCGGGACGAGGGAGCTTCGAAGTCCCCCTAGTCTTTCAAAAAAGTCGTTCGTCTGATTAAATATGGCGCACGAAGGATTTTCATACTTGATTTTCGCCAGTTTTAGCGAGCCAAAAACGAGTCGCTGCGCTTAGACCAATCAAAGAAGGGGATAAAGTGGTCACTCACAAGTAATTTAAAGCGCACTGAAACGTGAATTGCGGTTGAAATTCCACCATAAGGGCGATTGCAAAAGCGGTATTATGTAATAAAAGATGTTCTCGAGGCCACGGGATATTATGAATATGCGTGACTATCAGAGAAAATTAATCGAAGCATATCTGTCGGGCAGAGATGTTTTTGTCTCTGCTCTAACCGAAGCTGGGTAAAGTCTAACTGTTGAGCTGGCTCCATACGCTTCACGATACGCTTTCAATCGTGTATTTTGACTATATGGTGGGGATTCCAATGTGATTCTTCTACTCGCCGATATCACTATCGGAAGCGCGCGCGCGGCATCTTTTTGAGGTTCATCCCTCCTTTCTCCTCTGCAATGCCCTTCCTCGACGATTCGAAGCTTTCCCACAAAGTTAACAATTCGCCCAATCGATGTAGGAGAAACATACACACGTTAGATTACTTTTGTCGGAGTGGAATCAGTGAAGTCAAGGACTCCCAAATGTAACCAGAAACCCCGAATACGAGACACGCCATTCCCTGTTTTTGGCGCGAAGCGCAAATAAAAACCTTAATTTCATTCACGCGAGACAAATCAACCTCTCGCAACTTCGTCGCTCGCTCCGCGGCCTAAAAAGCTCGCTCCGCCTGCTTAGAAACTCTCGTGAGGTTGACTTGTGGCAAGTCTAAAGCCC